TCAGGCCTGTACTTAACATCATTGGGATTACCTTGATCTGAGGATTAGAAACAGGCCGCACCTTATGCAAACTCTTCGCTAGAAAAGGCAGACGATTCCTCAGGCAAACCATAAGAACTTTAACTCAGTTAAAGGAACAGACGTTTTGTAGACGCAAATCAAGACGGAACGGGCCATGCACAAAACTTTGATTTGGATTTTGCTAGGGTCAGTATGAATACCGTTGTCTCCCAAAACGTTGTCTCCCTTGAGTGACATGGGACATTATTATCAATATTTTTCATGGGACGAAGACAAAAATTGAAATAAGTTTATGTGCCTCATTTTGTTCCTCTGAGTTGAATAACAAATAGGTTATTGTATTCAAATATGGTGTGACAGAATTTTTGCAACTCTGTATAGATCTATTTCTCTACAGACAGAGACAGACACTCGTGCGGTGCGGAGCATGAACTTTCGGAGTTTCCTGTCTATCCGCACATATAAAATTATTGTATTGATCCTATCTCGCTCCCTGAAGTGAGATTTTAATGTTTGCTGTCTGCTGAATAAACCGGGCTGCTGTCGCATGTTCTATAAAAAAAATCCTGCTATTAGGAATACAAAGCAAATTTAACTGAGAGAGCTGTACACAGCATAATATCCTTTAATCGATGTATTCTATACTTTCAGAGGCCATGTGTTTACACTGTTCTTTCGCATTGCCCACTGTCCTTTCGCATCATCTGGTTGTTACAGGGGCTTACGGTAGAGAGGTAAATGTCAGATTCTAGAGAGGTTCCAGAGTTCACGCTTTGCTGTCACCACGAAACCGGAAAAAACGTGAGTTTTTTTTTTTTCATAAACCTAAGAGAGTTAACAAATTTCTTCAAGTGCATCAACTTAAGGAGCAAACACGTTTTCACTTCGCTACGAAGCATTAAAGAAAACAGACCTAACGCAGTTCAGGAAGACGAAGGGAACTTTGGCTTGAGGATGATCGACTATTGTTCGTAGGAAAAGCACAATGCAACGTTGTCTTGATTGTTTTTCAAATTGTTTGAGCGGGTGATTGGATGGCTCCACTGTTTGGTCCGATTTCATTTATTTCCCCTCTGTTGTTTCTGTCTGTCTGATTACTTTTTCTCAGCACTAATTGACCATTATTGTGTCGATGCACATCGATTTACGCAAACAAATAAGCAAACAAACAAATTATCAAAAAAACAAACAAACAAAAAACTATTTCCATATTTTGTTTTTCCAGCATCCTGCCGATCACACAGAAATCATTTACATCCAGTTGGGTGAAAAAATTAACTTAATGAATGTACAAACATTCCGTATTTCAGAATACCATCTAATATAAGCATAATATGGGTTTTTCTCCACGTGCAGAAGTGTTTGAAAGGCTGAATGTCTTTGGGACTCATTTCTTTTAGCTCTTTAACCACATAATGTGCTTTATACTTGGAGTTGTCTTATATTGCTTACTGGGGGGCATATTGTTGTTGTTTTGTTTTGTTGTTGTTGCTGTTGGGTTTGGGGGGGGGGGTTATTTTGGGGGGTGGGTCAGTGTGTGCTTTTGTTTTGGGGGTTGTTTTTTGTTGTTTTGTTTTGTTTCTTGTTGTTGTTGTTGTTGTTGTTTTTGTCTGTTTGTTTGTGGGTTGATTTTGAAGTTTGTTTGTTTGTTGTTGTTGTTTTGTTTTTTTTCACTTTAACGGTACTCAGACATTACTAATAAAAGTTAAACTCTGTGGAAATGATTACGTCCATATCACAAATTATATTCTACGCATCAACAATATATAGTGTCAATGTTTATGGTATATCTTGTGCCATCCATTTGCATTTTTTAAAAATGTGTTCGCATGTGTGTGTTCGCATGTGTGTGTGTTCGCATGTGTGTGTGTTCGCATGTGTGTGTGTTCGCATGTGTGTGTGTTCGCATGTGTGTGTGTTTGTGTGTGTGTTTGTGTGTGTGTGTGTGTGTGTGTGTGTGTGTGTGCGCGCGCGCGCGCGCGCGCGCATGTGTGTGCGCATGTGTGTGAGCGCACGTGCAAAGAGGGAGAATGAGGGAAGAGGGAGAGAAAGACAGAGGAAGAGAGAAATAGAGAGAGAACCCATT